GATAGTTAAAACAACAAATTACAACAGATTATATATTGATTATTATATGACTTGAAACACCACGGCACTGGAATTAAGTTTTAAGTGACCTTGAACATATTAGTTCACATGGTAGCGACCGATGAATCACTCCCAAACATTCGTGGCGTTTACTATAGCGCTCGTTACTGCTCGCTCATCTGGTCTGGACGCCTCTTATGGTATAAACGTCAAATTGTTATTAGATCAACATTTTGATAATCTTAGCAGCGTTTTTTTTATATTTTAATTGCTTTTTCAAAATGCCTTTATTATTTGAAGTAGATGAAATTGTTGGCATTTTGAAAAGCAATCAAAAGATAAAACGCTGCTAAGACCATCAAAATGTTGATCTAATAACAATTTGACGTTTATACTATTACGTCAAACGCAACTTTTTTCTAAAGCCTGCCATGACTTCACTGAATCATCGTTGCTTGTTCACTGTTATCAATGTCTTAATTATTAGATATTAATACATCTAGTATTATGATATTCTGGTATTTCGTCGATTTTAAAATAAACTAACTGTTTCTATCCTATTTTTGTGTTAGAATGGACATAATCAAGAGGGCTACTGATACCGTGTTGTAAAAATAAGGTAATTAAGGGCTTATTTTTTGGTATTTATTATAATTTTGCTAATATCTTCGGTTTGAAAAAAGATATCAAGATGCGGTTTTTGCTAACTTTTTAAGCGTTTATTACTCATTACTATCAGCTAAAATTACAAATACTATTGTATTTAATTTTTTTTGAACAGACCTATAATCCCGTCCTCATTTTAATTAAATTAATAATATTAGTTTAGGAATGTCCCATCATAAAAACCTTTATACCTTTGATGTCATAAACGACCCTACAATATAATTCTAATTGATATTAGTTTAACTATTACCATTGGGAATTTTGATCATAAATTTATATAGCTGTCGCAGACGTCTGTCTACCTAAACAATGTAAGTTTAGGGCAATGTCGTCCAATGCACTGAATATTAGATTTAAGGATATATAAATTGTATTGTACGCCTCTGGCATTTTCGTAGCTTAAATACTATCCTTGTATATGAATTTTTAAAGTAGCTCAACCTAAGACGTTTATGGATGTAAAGCACCAGATGGCGGAGCGTATTTCACAGTCTGTTACTACAGAAAAATATTTTTTGTTACTCTGAATTTTGAAGCGACCAATAAAAACAGAGAAAATAAAAATCGATAATTTTCGGACTGTGCCAATTGGTTACTAATCGACCAGATACTTTTTGTCTATTAGATATGCTATAAAAGCTGGTACTTATACAATTCGACCATTGTAAATACCCGACAAATTTCGCCATTCCGACGAGGCCGATGCTTTTCACTGATAAGAAAAAAAATGTTTGTTTAGATAATTTTCGAGATATTTTTTCTTTACGAATGCACATTTTTAAAGTATTTTATATTCTTTGTCCGCTTGATCTATTATACTGGTTGCACGTATCGAGGTTCTGTTTCTTCTAGTTTTATAAAATGTTTTTTTAAGTTATATCTTTGTAGTTGTAGTGTAAAATTAGATTAATTTTATTAAGTTTAATTATAATGTTTAGTGTAGAATACCAGAAGTTTATAGTGTTAGTAGTGTTATAATAAATATATATATATATATATATAAACTATAAATGATTATTTTGCAGTTAAGTAGTAGGTGAAGGGATAATTTGGTTATTTTTTCTTTTTGTTTGATTAATTAGTAAGTTTGATAATTTTTTCAGTGTAGAAGTGGTTGAAGTAGTGAAGAAGTAGTTGTGTAGTGTTTTTATAAGAGATTATATTAGTTTATTTTGTAGATGAGTAGTAGGTGAAGGTATTTGGGTATTTTTTCTTTTGTTTTTCTTCTAATTGTAGTCATTCTATTAAGTATTGTGATAGATACACTATATCTTCCTTCAACTTCGTTGAAAAGTGCGTTATCATATAATTTTGGTTTTCTGGTAGTAGAATATACGAAGAAAAAATCTGATCAAATTTATTTTAAATTAAATTAATCCAGTTTTATTAATCAAATTAATCTAGTCAAATAATAATAATAGTTAGTTTCTAAATACTAAATAGGGTGAGTTTCCTACGATGTTCTCTATGGGTATCTCGGAAACTACTGGAGATAGAGTCGGTTAAACGGGGAAAAATTGCAGTTTTGTGGGGTCATAAATATGCGCCTTTCGGATTTTTCGGAGAAATTCAAGGCTTACTAGATATTTCGAAAAAACAAATTTTGGCTATTTTTAAAAACTTTGTCTCTAATTCCATTATAATCTACCGTATGATCGAATAAAAACGGCGTCAACGATGGCTATGAAATGAAGATCGCTGTCATTTTATACCTATGTAAAATTATATGGGAAATATCATCGATCGTCATTTCATGGCCATCGCTGAAGCTGTTTTTATTCGATCATACGGTATTTTAGACAAAAAACTTTTCAGATAAAAGTTGTAGATAATCACATACCTAATGAGTTTGTGTTTTCTGTTTTTTTTCTAAAGCCTGTCATTTTTGACATATGACACAAACATTATGTTTTTTTTTTTTAATGGAAACCATAGTTGGCCATGACTTCATAAAAAGCGCCATTTTTAAGCTTTTCAGCGATATAGGTATAATATGTTTTTTCGAAAATTACAAGTTATAGCCAATTCTTTTCTTTCTTGGCTAATTTCCATACCAATAATATCATGCCAATTAGTTGGCATCAAAATGTAAAATGTTTTCAAAAAAAAATTTTCATAAAATTCGTAAAGCACTCAATTTAGAATAAAATAATCTAAGAATGAAATGATTCTTTTATAAACCTGCATTAAATCAAATTAAAATAGGTATGTAACTTTTTTTAAAATATTAATTAACAGCAATTAGCATTATCATAAATTATAAATAATGTACCAACATATCGAAATAACAATTTCTTTGTTAATACGGATTAGAATTCTTAAAATAACAGGCAAAAAAAAGTTTCGTTTAAATTTCTTAATTAGCTGATCACTATTAAAGTTCGCAGAAACCCTGGGCTATATTATTACATTACTCTGAGGAAAATAACGAAAATAATCGATATTTTTGACTCCGCCCCGAAAGGTTCATGATTTGTCCTCCAGTTGGCAGCACATTTTGTCTAATCGGTTGGGCAACTTTAAGAATATATAAACAAGGATACTATTTAAGGAACTGCAAGATAGGCCCTCAGTCTCTTTTGCTCTACAACTCTCTTTTTATTCTTCAACACGTTATTATTTTTCAGTTTCCCTTAGGGTAAATATTGTAATTAGTTCATCATAATTAAAGTTAAGTTATATGAAAAACAACAGTGTTCATTAATTCCACACCCAAAAAGACCCTCAACAAGTTGGCCCTACTGGACAACAACAATGGTTGAATAAGCTGAAAATGATGACCATTGAATATAGTGGTGTTTTCTCGAAACAGCCTGATTTCTTCTATCAAGTTTATTAAATTATTTCCTATTAATTCTTATTTTAAATAAAAATTTTGAACAAGAAAAATAACATTCATCATTTCACGCGATCGCTTAAAACCATTTTCCTCATAGAGAAATCACAAGATCTATAAAATATTTATTCTTAGAATAATTACTTATATTTACTTAGGCTATAAACAGGTTATAAAAATTTCAAATGAATATAAATACGACTAGATATTTTTTATTAATTAAGATAAAATAATCAAAAACAAGACATTTGATATTACTTCCTTCTTTAATTTATTCAAACTTCACATGCAGTTTAACATAACAAAGGAAGTAACTCTAAAAAATTTTCTTACAAAAATCTGACACGTTTTTAGCTACACATTTACGATTATTTATTACATGTACTATGTACTGATTAATTTGTTAGTTCCTCATAGAATTATGTGACTTTATCGTTAATAAACACACGAAAAAATTAAATGCTTGCGATTCATATGGTGTAGTACAATAAGTTGAACAGCTTTCACATGACTCATGGTGAGCAATAATTAAAAGAAACTATGAACATTTCTGATTTCTATCAGACATCCGAATTAAAATAGATTAATTTATCGGAACTACATTCATTAAAAATATTTATACAAGATAAGAAAACCTGCTTCAAAAACATGTCACTAAACTGAGTAATAAAAACGATTTTTCCTAATATTTGAAGAAATTTATTAAGGTCAACAAAAATACAGACTTTATACTGTGATATTAATAATTTTCTTTGTTCTCTTTGTGTAATAAACTTCAAAGACTTAAGAGTAAAACAAAAACAATTTAGTTAGGTAGGTGTATGTATAAGGTTACCATTGTTTTGTAATTTTTCAAAAACACTGTATAAAATCTAGAATTCTATTATATAAAATTGGTAAATAATAAATTATAAACGAATATATAAAAAAGTCCAAACATTTATTTAGAAAAATACGATTAATTTCTCAAAAATTCTAACGTGAATTGTTGTGAATCAGATGTCCCAATTTCAAAATGAAAGCGCACAATGCAAGGTCAAGATATTTACAATTGTGCATTAGGAACGGCGAAAATACAGAAAGAATCAATTAAACTATCTATATTTATTGTATTGTGTCCGCGGTGCTGTTCTAAAACGGAATTTTACTTGAAAATAACGGAATAAAGGAATATTAAAGCAGGTCAACGACATGAGTGAATGGTTTCCAAATCGGTTCCAGCTTCCAAAATATAACTGTTTCTAGCACTAGTTACCTTGACTATGCAAAACTAGAGGTTTATATGAGATTATTTCTCAAAATTTTTAAGAAATACGTGTTTAGAAACCTAAATTTGAAAAAAATAAGCACGTATTCCAGCCACCATTACGTGAAATTCAACAAGCATTCGATGGCAAAGTTTCTCACTAAAACCACTAGTTTTGACACAATCCTAAGTTAATAACGCGTTCAATTGTTAACACTTGAAATTTTAATAAAAAAATCAAATTATACTTACGTTTTTACTGAGTTTTAAAAAGCACCTTCTGAAGACTACGAAGAATTTTCTGACTCGCCTATAAAAGAAGGGAATATGAAATATGTTTTGTCCTTGTTTGCGGCGTTGCTACAAGTGCGTGGACGAGGGAATCGATAAGGCGGAAGGCGGGCGATTCGAAAAATCTACCGCGAATTTACACTCGAAGTTTCTCGATTAACTTTTAAACGGTCACTGAAAAGATTTTCCACAACAAAAATATTACGAAGAAATGTTCTTTCGACTGATATGTCACGTTCAAACTAAACAAAAATGCCAAGTAAAGGTTGACGCTAACCGACTTCTCGATTGCGGACTCTTTCAAAAACTTTATTTCGGTGTTGTTACATTAGCCGAAAACGTCAAGAAACAGGCGAATAATTGAAGAAATATAAACGAACCGTAGTGAAAGAGTCCGCGCAAGAATAGACACGGAAAAAAAGGAACGATGAATTATTTCGGGGCACGGGGCACGTGTTCAATTGTTGATAAAAAATAAATTTGACAACCTTGCACAACGACCACAGAACATCCAAAAAGTATATGATCTTTTATATATGATTTACCACAGAGAAGATATAAATTTTAGCATCACTATAATGAACTAGACAAAAGCCACTTGTGATAGAAGCCAGAATGAAAAAAAGAGGAAGAATGAGCTTCTAACCATACTTATGAATGGCCGATCTGTAATTTTATAAATTATTGTTTATTTAAATGATGCTAAATTGAAAAATACTTTAAAAAATGACTTCAATTATAAAGCTCCAGGTACTTTCGGGGGCTATGGACGAGTCCCCTCCGGCTTATCTCTTACAGGTCGACGATGTAAAAATTTTGTTAGATTGCGGCTGGGACGAAAAATTTAATATGGAATTTATTAAAGAAGTCAAAAGGTTGTTTCCAGTATAGAAATAACCATGTAAATAACGTTAAAATTAATTATTTTTAGACATATTCATCAAATCGATGCAGTATTAATATCATATCCCGATCCGTCACATTTAGGGGCTCTCCCGTATCTTGTCGGTAAACTAGGACTAAATTGCCCAATATACTCCACAATCCCTGTTTATAAGATGGGTCAGATGTTTATGTACGATTTGTATCAATCCCAATACAATATGAAGGATTTCTTTTTGTTCAATTTGGACGATGTAGATGCCACTTTTGATAAAATTATTCAGTTAAAATACAACCAAAGTGTACCGTTGAAAGGTAAGGGTTATGGTTTAACAATTACCCCATTGCCGGCGGGTCATATGATTGGGGGTACAATTTGGAAGATAATGAAAGCAGGAGAGGAAGATATAATCTATGCTAACTCGTTTAATCACAAGAAAGAACGTCATCTCAATGGCTGTGAATTGGAGAAGCTCCAGAGACCTTCTCTCCTAATTATTGATGCATTTAACGCAACATACCAGCAGGCTAGGCGAAGAGCTAGAGACGAGAAACTAATGAGTAATTTATTATCTAATTTACAGTGTTTTTAGTATATGTAAGCGTTATTAACTTTTCAGCAAATATTTTACAAACTCTTAGAAACAATGGGAATGTTTTGATTGCTGTTGATACTGCCGGTAGAGTTTTGGAACTAGCTCATATGTTGGATCAGTTGTGGAGAAATAAGGAATCCGGACTTCTTACATATTCTTTAGCCCTGATAAGTAACGTTGCTTATAACGTTGTTGAATTTGCTAAGTCCCAGATAGGTAAGTTATTTTCATAGTTTTTTTTTGTTATAAAACCAGAATATAAACATTTAATTTAATCTTTTTTAGAGTGGATGAGTGATAAGTTAATGAGGAGTTTTGAAGGAGCTAGAAATAATCCTTTTCAGTTCAAGCATTTATATTTGTGCCACACTTTATCCGAACTAAATAAAGTAGCTAGTCCTAAAGTAGTGCTGGCCAGTAGTGCTGACTTGGAAAGCGGGTTTTCTAGGGAATTATTCTTGCAGTGGTGTTCTAATTCAAACAATAGTGTTATTATCACTACAAGGTAATAAAACACAAAAATACAGGGTGGATCTTCTTATATGACGCTTAGGCTCCAAGGAGAACGACAGTTTGTATTAAAGTGAGATTTTGTGAGTATTTGTAAGTTAATTTAGACCATTTCTTAAAAATAATAGTTCTATAGGTTCTCCTTAAAAAGTTACACATCAAAGTTGTGTTTTTTGTAATGGAACGCCCTATATATTAATTGGTTTTTAGATTCCAGGAAAAAAATAAAGGTGAGTTGGTATTAGAGAAGCATAGGACTAAAATGTAAGGTTTTTGACGTATTAAACGTTCTCTAAAAACGAAGAAGAAATTTTATATTTCAATAAAATCTATCTGAATTGGAATTTACCCAGTATAGCTTAATATGTAGTTAAAATAACTATCGTACTTTAAATCAAATTAAAATTTAACCCAAAGAGTTATACAGGATGAAGCAAAATTAATATTGAACATTGGTTTCTTTTAAAAGTAAATTACTCTTATTTTAAATGGAACACCCAGTATATTATTGCAGTATTCAGTGGAGAATTCATGTCTCTTCAAAATACTATCAAGGTTACCTCAGAAACTCACCTTTCTTTTTTCTTTGACTCCTAAAATTGATATACAGGGTGGTCCGACTTGTATTCGGACAACTATGGCAGCCTATTCTACCAATAAAAATAAGTAAAAAAGTTCGTATAAATTTATGTCCTAAAATGCTTCTTTTCAAAGATACAGGGTGTACAAGTTTCATTTTTATGTCCATTTTTTCCAAATAATTTTTGAACTGATGTAAATAGTTGGATCAAAATTGGTGCCTGGGTGTTTTTTGACCAGTGTGGCCATCTATTTAACTAGTTTCCCACAAATTGTATCTCCGAAACCACCAGAAACCACTAAAATTCTATTATACATATACAGGATTGTTCACCACATACGACACGGAGTATTGTAGCTAAACGATGAGATTTTTACAAATTGTAAGTTTGGGGTTCGTTGAAGGACTATTAGAGCTACAATTTAAAAATATTTTTACAAGATACAGAGTGTCCCAAATAAATAAAAAATATCAAAGTTGTATTTTTTTAAACGGAACACCCTGTATATTATTACATTTTTAGTTTCTACGATTAAAATAAAGGTAAATTTGATTAAGGTTTATTATACTTAAACCTTACCGTTTTGAAATATTTTCAATTTTGTGAAATTGCAGTAAAATTTTAAAGCTTCATTTCTCCAAGGGTATCAATGTTTTTAATACTAAATATTTAATGAAGTTTATTTATTGATCAGTTATTGTGTTGCAATAATAAAAATAATACCACCTTATACAGAGTGTCTAAAAATTTATTTTAAATAATTATTAGCTTCAAACGGCAATAACTTCTTTAATTTAAATGGAATGCCCTGTATATATTAGGAGAATCAGATGCACAATTAAATTGTCTATCAAATTGTATTATACCATTTTTTAACTATCCCTTCAAGTTTTCGTAGAAAATGCATTTTCTTATAATTTAGACCTCATATTTATCAATATATCCATGGAATATTGACATTTTAGATTGTTTTTAAAGCAACAAATGTACAAAATGTACAGACTAGTAATATTATCGTTTTTAGCAAAACGATAATACCTATTACTAGCCCATTTGTATGCAAAAAGAAAACTATTTAAATCTTTATAAAAGAGTATACCATTAATTAAATATAACACCATTATTTCCGCCCATATACTAATTAATTACATACTTAATTGTGTTCGTTAATAAATTATTATAAATAAATGTGGATTTGAGTCAGAAATCAATATAATAATAAGTTATCAAATTAAAGTCTCTGTTGTTATAAATAAGCATTTATTAAAAAATGAAATATCATTTTAAGGTGTTACTTTTTATCACACTGTCTAATGCCCATACAAAATTCAGTTTTTTAGTATTTGGAGCAATTATTATTAATCAACGCAAACAGTCAGTTAATTTAGTTTGAATACTGGAATCATATTAATTGATCTTCTTTAACAAATATTTAAACAGTTTTTTTTTATTTTTTAATGAAATAAACGAATTATATCGACAATATTAGTATCTGTACTCTTTAAAAATTTGGTACATCTTTAAAAATAATCTAAAATGTCAATAGTCCATGGGTATATTGGTAAATAAGTTCTAAATTACAAGAAAATGCATTTTCTACGGAAACTTAAAGAGATAGGTAAAAATGGTATAATATAATTTGATAGACAATTAAATTGTGCATCTGATTCTCGTAAAATATACAGGGTGTTCCATTTAAATTAAACAAGTTATTGCCGTTTGAAGCTAATAATTATTTAAAATAAATTTATAGACACTCTGTATAAGGTAGTATTATTTTTATTATTGCAACACAATAACTGATCAGTAAATAAACTTCAGTAAATATTTAGTATTAAAAACTTTGATACCCTTGGAGAAATGAAGCCTTAAAATTTTTACTGCAATTTCACAAAATTGAAAATATTTCAAAAACGGTAAGGTTTAAGTATAATAAATCTTAATCAAATTTACCTTTATTTTAATCGTAGAAACTAAAAATGTAATAATATACAGGGTGTTCCATTTAAAAAAATACAACTTTGATATTTTTTACTTATTTAGGACACTCTGTATCTTGTAAAATTATTTTTAAATTGTACCTCTAATAGTCCTTCATCGAACCCAAAACTTACAATTTGTAAAAATCTCATCGTTTAGCTACAATACTCCGTGTCGTATGTGGTGAACAGCCCTGTATAAAAAAAAATAATTTCAATACAAAAATATATGTAAAAAATTTAATTTCAATACAAACTGTCGTTCTCCTTGAAACCTCCGCGTCGTATGAGGGGCTTCACCCTGTATAGGATTTTAATCTTTCAAGCTAATTATTATTTTATAGAACATGTCCTGGAACTCTAGCGAGAGATCTAATAGACAACAACGAAAAAGGCAGAACCATCGATATGATTGTAGAAAGAAGAGTGAAATTAGAAGGTGCAGAGCTGGAAGAGTTTGAAAAAAGACAGCAACAAAGAACGCATATAAGCAACGGGACCAAAGAGTAAGAAAAATCTTAAAAAAGAAATAAACAAATTTATTAATTTTCTGGTATTTTTAAGTGATGTAGATTCAGATTCCGATAGTGATATAGAGATGTCGGTTATATCCAAAGGAAGGCACGATATTGTTATAAAACAAGAAGGTAAAGTTAGTGGAGGATTTTTCAAAGTGACCAAAAAACAGTATCCTATGTATCCGTTTCGTGAGGACAAGATAAAGGTTTTTTTAATACAATTTTTTTTAAATACATGTTTATATTTTTTTATTTTTTTTTCAGTGTGATGAATATGGAGAAATTGTTAAAATTGAAGATTACAGGCTGGCCGATGTTAATCCTGAAGCTGAAGATAATAAAGAAAACTTAGAGGTTAAGAGAGAGGAAGAAGAAGAAGAAATAAGTAAGTGTGTTATTTTTAGTTATATACAGGGTGGCCCATTAGTGTGATGAAGTTCAATATCGTCGCTGTTAAAAGCTTTATACAGGGTGTTTCAAATCAAATGCAAAAAACTTCAGGGGCTGATTCCTTGTTCAAAATAAAGGGTAGTTTGCTTCATAAACGTTGGGTCAAAAGTCAACCATTACGGAGATATCGCGGTACAAAGATGGCGGAAAAATAATGTTTTTATTTTTTATCTTGAAAACGAAAAGAGATAGACTAATGAAATTTTATGGAAGCATTATTGTTATGAAAACACACTTTCTGGTAATTTTTTCACTTTTTAAAAATGAGTGGAAGGGGTTGAAATAAACTACCCCTATCATTCTTGCTAACGAAATTTAAAGAAAAATCTTATCAAACACATGCAAATGCTTTAATTTGGATAGTTTAGTTTGTTTAGAAACTTTTTTATCTCTTGTGTTTCTTTGATAAAACTCACCGATTTGAAATTAAAAAATAAAATGTAAAGCATTACATATCAGGACAAAAAACATTTTTAGATTAAGAATCTAGTGATAATAACGATAATAATAATCATCTAGATAATAACGCATTGCAGTAGAGTAATGTCAAATAAAATTATATTAGGAACATCCTAAAAAGTAACAGCGGCCGACTAGATGTTTTCCTAAAAAAATTAGCCCACTAGATTCTTTATCAGAAAATGTTTTTTGTCCTGGCATGTAATGCTTTACATTTTATTTTTTAATTTCAAATCGGTGAGTTTTATAAAAAAAATACAAGAGATAAAAAAGTTTCTAAACAAACTAAACTATCCAAATTATTTTTTTTGCATGTGTTTGATAAGATTTTTCTTTAAATTTCGTTAACAAGAATGATAGGGGTAGTTTATTTCAACCCCTTCCACTCATTTTAAAAAAGTGAAAAAATTATCAGAAAGTATGTTTTCATAACAGTAATGCTTCCATAAAATTTTATTAGTCTATCTCTTTTCGTTTTCAAGATAAAACATAAAAACATTATTTTTCCGCCATCTTTGTACCGCGATATCTCCCTAATGGTTGACTTTTGACCCAAACCCTTTATTTTAAACAAGGAATCACCCCCTGAAGTTTTTCGCATTTGTTTTGAAACACCCTGTATACAGGGTGACCCGAAAAAAAGTAACGATAAAGTTTAATTTTTTTTTTAAATTGCAACCCCAATTTTTCTGTACAGAATTCTGCTCAGCACAAAATTCTGCATAAAGTGCACTATCTTTATTTGAAGTAATATGCGGTGTTGTCATTCTCTTTCTTATTTACTGAAACTTTGGTTAAAAACTGGAGTAAATTTAACTTTACTAATACTGTGCTATATTTTTCTAAAAACAAACATAGCAGAATAAATATGCGAAGGAATGTTTACATTATCTTATACAGGATATTTTTGATAGCGTCGCCAACATCGTAATATTTAAAATGCTATATCTCAATGTTTTTAAACGTAACACCCTATATATTATTTTTCTACTTGATGCAGAATTAGAAAATATACATTTTTTGTATTTAAAGTGTCCCTAAATTTTGAACGGTTTCGCAGATATTCGCAGTGTTATATTACGTATGTTTTATCTTTAACTTTTTATGTTTTTTTAGATAGAAAAACGAGATTTGGTATGTTAGTATATAACATAAATTGGGATTGATTGACGTATTCAATTGATTTTGGTAATTTCCTGTTTCACCGGAAATGACTACAACTTTTGATTTTAAATGGCACCCTCGATATTTTTTTACTCTGTTCAATAGAAAATATCACTCTAAATAGAATGACATATCAAATGTCAACTTTTGACATTTTCTCATATGGTTTATTTGAAATTATAACATGTGGTTCGTAACGAAAATTTGACTCGAAATACCAAGCGTGTGGTAAAAAATTATTTGTAAAAAAATGATTTTTCCAAATATGCTAATGAGCCACTCTCGTTCCATTTGAAAACAATTGAGATATGATTAAAAATACGATTTAGGCCTCGTTTAACCGGGCAGGACAAGACACTAAAAACATTAGACGATCAAATCTATTTTTCCAAGGCCCCTGGATTAATAATTAGTGTTTTTAACATAGCCTTGGCACTCTAGATTGAAATTTAAAATACAATTTTTTATTCAGCGAGAAAGTCAAAAGTTGACATATGATATGTCATTCTATGTTCTAATGTCATTCTCTATCGAAAATACCGAAGGTGCCATTTAAAAATAAAAAGTTGCAGTCATTTCCGGTGAAACAGGAAGCGACCGAAAACAATTGAATTCGTCATTCAATCCTAATTTAGGTCATATACTACTCTACCAAGTCGCGTTTTTTTATGGCGTCAGCGTTGGTTATGAAATGTAGGTCGCTGTCATTTTATTTTGGAATGTCATCAGATTTTGGATGTTCATTTCCAAGCCAACAGGACGCCGTTTTTTTTTAGATCATAAATATGGTATTCCGTTTGCTATTTTGCTTTTCCAACAGTAAATTTTTATCAAATCCATCTAATGATTTTCGTCGAATATTTTATTATTGTTTACTTAAATCAATAGCTGTGGTTAAACATTGTTGCCAATTTTTTCCAGTTGAAATTCTGGAAGTTCCATCGAAATGTATCGCTCTGGAGAGGACGGTTCAAGTGAACTGTCAAGTACAATACATCGATTTCGAAGGCCGGTCCGACGGGGAATCCCTGATGAAAATCCTGTCCCAGCTGCGACCTAGGCGGGTGATCGTGGTGCACGGCACTGAAGACAACACGGAAGTCATTGCGGCGCACTGCAGGGATAACATTAGGGCGAGAGTTTTCACACCTCAAAGGGGGGAGACGGTGGATGCAACCAGCGAAACACACATATACCAGGTATGTATTGATATGAAAAATATGTATTAGATATCTAGTCAGTTATAGTTTTATTTACTGAAAATTACTTTGAGATTGAACACCATGTATATTAATGCATTTGAAATAATTGAATATCTTTTTTATTAATACTATACAGGGTGGTCCGAACTGTATTCCGGAAACTTTGGCAGCATATTTTGCAGATAAAAAAAAGTAAAAAAGTTTATATAATTGTATGTCCTAAAATGCTTAGTTTCGGAGATACAGGGTGTAGAAGTTTCATTTTTATTTCGATTTTTTCCCGATAATTTCTGAAGCAACGTCAATATTTGGATGAAAATTGGTATCTAGGAGTTTTTTGACATGAGAATTTTGATTTTGATATCAATATGACTCTTACTTGTAGAGAGCGCCACCTACATGTGTTTTAACTGTTTTGAAGAGTAATAACTTTTCGTCCATACCCGTATAAAACTACTGGGTGAAAAAACATACATTTCGTGATTTTTTACGTAAAAAATGTCTCTTAGTAAAAATCGCTACAAGCAACCGTTTTCAAGATATTTAGAATGAAAATAGTCAATATAGTCTATAAAATGAATAACTTTGAATTTTGACCGTTATTTTTTACCAACATGGCAAATATATAATCCCTCTATCCAAAAAAAACCAAAAAGTTACTGATATTCTTTAAAATGAGTGCCTGAACGAATCAGATAGGTAACTTTTTATTTTCGTGAAATAGAAAAGGAAAATAATAAAACAAGTGACAGTTCTTCCTATTCTTGCAAAAATCAACGCGAAATGTCATAATTGACAAAAGTAAAATGTCATCAGCCTTTGACATTTCTAAATATCACACCAATGCCGTTTCTAATAGAACAGCCTCGGAGCGAGATTTATGACGTCACGCTAGTTAGATACCACGGATTAATAAATATGTTGTAGAATACATGGAAAACATAATTATTCCTTGTATTTTTGGTTTGTATTTTAAAAATGATATAGTTTACATGAAATATACATAATATACAGTTAATAAATACAATATATATACCGATTTATAGTAATAAATACTTTGGCAAATAAACTATGAACCATACAAATGCAGCAAATGTTTTATAATATACAAATAATGAATAGGTACATAAGATAATGGGTAAAATGTAAAATATATTTTAAATTTTGGGGTTTGAAAATCGATCTAATTTAACATGAAAAGCGATGGCTATGTAATAAAGATCGCTGTCATTTTATATGTAAAATTATTCTAAAATTTTTGATTTTCTTGGGATTTAGGTTCGGGAAAAACGCTGATTAAGTTTTCATTTGGTTTTTCATTATTTTTTTGGTCATCAGTGTTGTGTCATATGAAAAAATAGTGTCGAATATAATCCAAAAAATTACATATAAATATATATGTAATTTTGAATAATTATATTTTCCATGTATTCTACAACATAATTAATCCGTAGTATCTAACTAGCGTGACGTCATAAATCTCGCTCCGAGGCTGTTCTATTAGAGACGGCATTGCATCAGCATGGCCGCAAGCTGCTAACCTAATAGAATTTACACTAGAAAAGCCCGCCGGAACTGTCAAATTCAAAGTTATTCGTTTCACAGACTATACATGTCATTATTGAAATGATGAGTTTGGGAACTTTTTTTTATTTTTTTTAAATTAATCAAAAAAACACACGAAAAAAATGATGATAAAACAGTTTCCGTTGAACTTTTAGCATAAAACCATTTCAAATTTATGATTTCAGTTTAATAATTATTATTTAGTCAACATTTAAAATATTTATGTCTATGATGACAGGTATTTTTATATATATAAAATTTAAAAAATTTATGTCTATGATGACAGGTATTGAGAATTTAGATTCCAAATATCTCGAGAACCATTACTCGAAGCGATTTTTACCAAGATACCTTTTTTTACGTAAAAAACGTCGCAAATGTATATTTTTTTAATCAGTGGTTTTATACAGATACGGACAAAAAGTTATTAGTCTTCAAACCAGTTAAAAAATATGTAGGTGGCACCGTCTACAAGTAGGAGTCATATTGACATCAAAATCAAATTTATAATATCAAAAAACTCCCAGACAACAATTTTCATCGAAATATTGACGTTATTTCATAAATTATTTGGAAAAAATCATAATAAAAATGAAACTTCTACACCCTGCAGGTATCTCCGAAACTAAGCAATTTAGGACATACATTTATACAAACTTTTTTACTTATTTTTATTTGCAGAATATGCTGCCGAAGTTTCCAGAATACAGTTCGGACCACCGTGTATATTATAGTCTCTCCAACGAATAGGGGTATATTTCAAAAGACGACATTCAAAAAATGACATAATTGGACATAAAATGACAAAATACAATTTACATGTGAATTAAAATGAAGTTGTCAATGTCATTGTCAAAGATGCTCTCGTTGGGCAGACTATAGTTTAGTTTATGAAAGAGACTTTGAAGCATAGAATAACTAACTGAAAGAAATGAAAACTCCTATGTTAAAGCCTGGAAACACGCGCTTGACGCGATCCAAGCGGGCTACTGGCAGAACTAAAAGTTCGCGCCATATTTTTAAATAGACCTTTACTGCCAGTTCATAAGTTTTTTACTTATATTTGGTAATTTCAATCTAGATTATGAACTTATTTGTAACAAAACATTTTATAAAATAAAAATAATGTATTTTGATACAAATAAATTAATAATCTAGGTTGAAATTATCCCTGAAATTAGAATAAAACACGAAAAATTTGTAACTTGATTATTTTATTATAACATTGTTAATAAAATTACATATAACACATTCAACACTATACAAGTATATATAAAAGTTATCAGAATTTATACAATCAGTTATAAGTAATTATAAAAAAGGTTATAAATTATAAATAAATAAATCATTATATAAAAGACATATAGTTACCGTGAATATAATTTGGTATAACTTTAATCTCAACTTTAATGACCTATTCAAATAGAAACATCTTAAAATTCACATTATATAATACAGAAAGCCAAGGGACAAAATTGTTATTAAATCTATTCTCGATGACTCGTAGCATTTTTTTTACAAATAAAACAGGACATATAGGGCTTATAAATAATACAAGGGTATAGAAAATATATAAATAAGTAAATACAAATATATTTTCAACCTAATGATTAATGATTATACTCGTTTAAATAAATAAATGATCTTTTTAAAATTACTTGTTTGTCTTTGCAAATTTGTATATTTAATATTTATCTAAAAGCGTACACTTACATAAATTACTGCACAACCTTTAAAATTAAGCTTTTAATATGTGTTAATACAAATTCTTGATTCGATATAAATACACTTAAATAAAACTTTAAAATTAGTGATCTTCCAGATTTCTGAGACAGCCATTTTGTTGAAAGAATTTGTTTTGATTATGAGAAATTTCATAAAAATTATCACAGGGATTAATTAATCTTATATATTAAACTACTTGGCTTTTAAATTTCACAATCCTATCGTCCAAAATACTCTAAATTCGCAAAAATCCGTAAAATATTCCCGTAAAAACAAATCACAATTCACTTCTACTTCACAGAAACTGACAGAATGCTGACAGACATTGCCAACAATTGCCAAATATGGAATGACGACAATGACGTTTATTTTTCAATTTATTTTACTGATCTAACTGATCCGGGTCACTTAGAAATTAAATTTTTATTAAATTATTTAATTATAATTGTTTCTGGCGAAAGCAACTTCATATCAATGTTTATTCATAGGGTAACAAAGCACATCACTGTTAAATTATCAACATTTTATATAAATATTTATATTTTTCAACTACTCCAACTACTCCAATTACTCCACAGAGAATCAAACGAATTGTTAATTAAACTATACTCTGTGGATGACTTGATAAAATCATGATAAAATTAAAGTCCCTAGATGAATATCTAGGGACTTTAGATGAAATTTCTACGCAGCGCCATCTATCCCTCTACTGGCAGAAACTCCGCCGTGTTTCCAAAATTCAAATGGCAGTTTCATCCGCCTGCTTTGAAGCTTTTTAACACTGACACTTTAAAAAATAATCTATTTGTTGTTTTGTTTTTAATTTTCTAGGTTAGGTTAACAGATTCGCTGGTATCTCAGCTAGACTTCAAAAAGGCTGCGAAAGATGCCGAGGTTGCTTTTATAAATGCCCAGATAGCTCTGAGAGAAATCCAAGCTGATGCCAAGAGAATGACCACCGATAATGAACCAATGGAAGGTAAGAAAAAACAATGTTTTTTTCTTAATTTATGCTTTAAATATTCATTTATTTGGGTTTTTTAGTGGACGATGATGACCAGAAGATACTAACTTTAGAACCACATACCGCGGAAGCACATCATGAACCTGTTTTTATCAACGAGCTGAAATTGTCAGATTTCAAGCAGGTTCTTGCTAAAGCCAATGTTTCTTCGGAATTTTCTGGTGGTGTATTGTGGTGTTGTAATGGTACAATAGCTGTAAGAAAGGTATAAATATTTATTTATTAAAGTCTAAGTCTGATATTTGTTGTTTTTTGTTATAGCTTGATACTGGGAAAATTGTGTTTGAGGGTTGCATATCCGAGGATTATTACAAAGTAAAAGATTTGCTGTATGATCAGTTTGCTATATTGTAAGAGTATAATATATAAAATGTATTTTTTAAATAATTTAAGAATAAATGTTTTTATAATTTTCTTTAAAGTTTTTTCATATTCCTTCGTTAGTATAAGCATATGTACAGGGTGATTCAACGATAAGAGTAAAGTTTATTCTATTGTTTGTTTTACGAAACAAAATATGGTAAACAGAAAAGTTTTAGGGAACGTAATGATGCACAATTTAAAATTATATGGAGCATACAGGGTGCTTCAAAAAAGTGTGGCGGATGTAATATATCGCTTTCCACACAAAGTGGCGTACTTAATGTTTTGAAAATTTTACAGTGGTGCGAAAAAAAAGTCTTTTAGTGTGATCTAACAGTGCCTACCGTGTTGTAACAGTAACAGCATAAGCTCTTATGCTGTAGCGGACAAAATAAATGACGTATTTAACAAAAGTAAATTTTTGTAACAGCTACCTACCTAAATTTTAGGTGACCTTGTATAGCTTGATATTTAATTACAGTAACCATTGTATGTTAAACTAAATTGAAATTTGACCCGAAAAGTTATACAGGGTGAGACAAAATTAATATGGAACATTAGTCACTTTTAAAAACAGGTTACTCCTTTATTTTAAATGGAACACCCAGTATATTTTTCCGGTGCTCAATGGGGAATTCATATATCTTCAAAATATTATGAAGGTTGCCTACCCCTCAGACAAAGATTTTCCTAGATATTTTAATTTTTATGATTTTGCGTCAGTAGATCTTTATTATTTGAAAAAATCTAGGGTGGCTGTGATATACCTTTTGTTAATTTAACAAAAATTAAGGATTGTAAAGTAAAATACTCAACGGTAATAAAAAGATACACGTTTAAAACATATTTAAATTATTACATAATTAAAACTAGATATAAACCTATAATTATGCGACAAAAATTAGCTAGATGAAATCAAATGCTGAAAATGCTTTCTTTCCTGTTAACTGCATAAAATGATTGGATCTTTTCATTTTAAGAGGCATATGTGGAGTTCTACCTCGAAAAGCAGCTACAATAATTTCTCTCATGTTGTCGACAATAGTTGGTCGAGTTTTGTAAACACTGTCTTTAACATATCTTCATAAAAAAAACCAGACTAGATAAAATCAGGAGCATGTAAGTATTTTATTAATTAGTGAATGCACACTGCACTAATAGAATCATATCAATTCTCTCTGATGTAGGATAAGTTTGCATTTTCGGCAAATTTCTGAGAAATTTTTTTGTTTAACTGACACAAAACTAGTTGGTAAAGTTGGACTAATTAGACAGCTATGTTGAAGTAACCTCGGACATATCACAGCTACCTAGATTTTATCAAATAAAGATCTACTCAGATCAAATCTTGCAAATGAAAATCTCTAGGAAAATCTTTGTATGAGGGGTAGGCAACCTTAATAGTATTTTGAAGAGACATGAATTCGCCATTGAATATCGGAATAATATACTGGGTGTTCCATTTAAAATAAAAGAGTAATATGCTTTTAAATGTGACTAATGTTCAATATTAATCTTGTCTCACCCTGTATAACTTTTTGGGTATAAGTTTTAATTTGATTTAAAGTACAATAGTTAATTTAACTACTTATCAGGCTATACCGGGTAAATTCCAGTTTATACGACAATAAAATATATAAATATAAATACGATATAAATTGAAATGTGAAATAAAAAACGGATTTTAGTTAATTACATTATCTTATAATACTAATTTATTCATGTTAATTTTACAACAAAATAATTTACATATAATATTATTTATTATTTATATATTTATATATAAAATATGTAAATTATTTTGTTGTAAAATTAACATGAATAAATTAGTATTATAAGATAATGTAATTAACTAAAATCCGTTTTTTATTTCACATTTCAATTTATATCGTATTTATATTTGTAAACAATAAGATATGTTATTAAATAATAATAAGAAGAAAGTAAATAAATATTGATCAATTATTAAAGACGCCTAAAACTGTTAATCAATAAAACTAGTACTGTATTTTTATTTTTCTACTTGCTGTATTAAAATTCCTTAGTATTTTTAGATGATCCCTCGTATACGGCCAGCGTTCTGACTGATAAAATAGCACTTCCCCTGCACCCGGTAAACGTACAAATTTTTTGTCACCTCGAAGGGTCACGGGCCGCCTTTGAAGTCAAAATAACAATAGAATTCCTTAGAGTGGGTCAACTGATATATTTTATATTCTTTAAACTGTGGTATATAAACAAAACAACATATCGTACTTAATATAAAATTCTGTGTAATGTCTTACGGCATAGCTTTATCCACAAAGTTTATAAGCTCTAGGAAAAAAAAACTTCGTTTAATCTAATCTAAGCCCATCAATTATCGCCTGATCTCAACAAATCGTTTAGAACATTCCACGGATTATGTTAATTCGCTCCGGAATTCCTTCCAGCCGGTATAATTTTTTTAGCAGCTCAGAGGCGAGAGATGCGATTTTTCTCCACGCCTGGGGAGCCTTTCCGAAGGGTGGGAGGAGAGGGATAAGAGGTTTACAGGGGTGGGGGTGTTTAATTTACCCCCTCCACGCCGCCATTGGCCGGGTTACACGAGGACCATCTCTTATCTCTGTCTGCGCCCTATCGATTGCTTCGGCTCAGCTGTAGCTTTAGTACGAGAGCTTATAGTCTAAGATCTGGCTTCAGGATTAGTACGTCCATCATGTAGTTAATCGAAATTTATTTTTTACATATACAGGGTGGCCCATCGAAAACGTTCCGCAAGGCGTAACGTCAAGGGTAATTTTTTTTTTCAGAAAATTAAAAAACACGTCAATTTTGTTTGTGAGGGGGACAATTTTTGCCCCAAAAATGATTGCAAAATCTTCAACCCTGTAAGCGGGGGTGTCATCCCCCAATTTTTTTTCAAATCGGAAGGGGGGTCAAGTGGTACCGCAATGAAAAGGGCTTTCTATTCTCTATACTTTCCCGCTTCGTTTTTGAAAATCGGTCGAGTCATTAAGAAAATATGAAGGATTGAAATTTGAAAAGTTTATTTAAACATTTATCAGAGTAAATGATAAGGATAAAAACGATCAGGTTAGGTAGAGTGTACTTTCTTTTTGAACGGTGTAGTTAATCCGCACAACTGTCGGTACTGGGCTGAGGGCAATCCCAAGGTTTTTCACGAGGTGCACACACAAAACCCTCAGAAATTGAACGTGTGGGCTGGTATTTTTAGAAATTCTATTGTCAAGAGCAAGAATTTATGTATTTATCATTAAAATAAATCACCCAATATATTAAATAGAATATATTACTATAAACATAATGTTTGCACAATAAAAATTAAACTAGAACAAGTTGACGTCAGACTAAGGTCTGAAGGTGAACTTTGTTTAATTCTTATTGTTGTAAATATCAATATGGAGAATAATTAAAAAGTAAATGAGAAGAGAGTCTCGGCTCTCTCGGGGAGAACGAATGAAGAAGTCATGCTGTTCAGTTGAGTTGAGTTCTCCAAGTATCATAATGACAGTAAGTAAGTTTATATTTTTTATATATTTTCTCTAAGTATATTTTATTGGTCAAAAGGTATTCTGCTTGACATTTCTCCTACCTAAATTAATGTATTTAATTCTTTAATAAATTTATATTTTGTTTTTATATATATTGATTGTTTTAATGATCTTCGATACCTAAAACGTTCCTAGCCGCAACCGGGGTCGCGACATGTGGTGGAGGCGCCGGCGCCGGTCTCTCTTTTAATTAAAACAGCCTTTTTTTTTGTAGGCAAATTTTAACTAATTTCTCTAGTTTTTTTCAACACCACGACATGTGGTGGAGGCGCCGTCGGTTATTTTAAATATTTTTCTACACCACCACTCATGTGGCGGAGGCGCCGTTGGTTTTTTTTAACAATTTCGCATACCAACGAGACGCGTTTATTTTTTTTATGAAAATGTTAAATTAATAAAGTTTTTAATTTTTTTAGCAACAATCAATGTATTTTTTAAATTTCTATATTATCTTTTGGCCAGTAAATTGAACGTTTACTTTGATATTTAAACACTTACTTACATATCATATATTTTAACTGAAGCAATATGTCCTATTACAATTATTTATATTTTAACCTCTAATAACGATTCGATATTTTTAATCGTCGAACGAAATATTCCTTTTAATATTCATTCATACATAACTTTTCTCTGTGTATTTTTTATCAAAACGATGCGTATATTTTTTGCGTAATTGCCAAAATAACTATTTGAGTCGTAATAAATTTCCAACACAAAACCTAAAATATTTTAAATATTTTGCCAAGTATTTACTGCCTTTATAAACAATTATTATGGACCATTATTATATTAAAATCAAAAACTTATCTTTCTATTTTTAACAGTAAAATGAAAAATCTATTAATTCAAACATTTTTATTTATTTTAGTTTATTGGAATAATTACTAAAACTTAAATATTTTATACGCACAAATACATAATTGTCTTCTATTTTCAAATATAAGTTTTAGTTACTATTTTATTTACTGCAATTGTGTTATAAAAATATCTAAACAGTGCTTACATAGACAAAATTCCTATTTGTTTGGATTTGAAAAATAATTTGTATTCTATTTCATGTTATATGTAGTGGGCGATGATTATTTATACTCTACTTAAAAATTCTATATTGAATTTCAATATAAATTAAAAATTAGCAAACCTATATTCATGATGTTTTTTAATAAAACACCTGTTCTGCCTGAGTTTATAGAGCCACCTACTTTTGACCCTAGATTCGACTGTCCGGTGTCTTTCATTCAAAAATATAACAGAATAACCGATAAGAATGGTTGGAGCCACGCTTTTAAAATAAAATATTTAAATTGTTACCTGGAAAATGCTGCATTAGTTTGGTTTAAGAAATATGTTAACAACAAGGATAATTTTAATAAAAATTGGCAGGATTTCAAAACCGATTTTATTAAGCAGTTTGGTGGTGAAAATCCATTTCGTAAACTAAAATCTAAATTTCGTACCTGTATACAAGGTGAAAATGAAGATATAAAATATTACT